TTAGTGATGAAGAGTCCGCCAGCATCTGGATGTCGTGGCACTGTTATATCTTTCTGAGATTTTATCTTCTAGACGCTGATGTCGGTATCGTGTCCATTGTTCGTGTGTGAGTGTTATATCTGCTCTGAGATTTGCTGTTCATTACGTTGATGTCGGTATCGTGTACGCATTTGGCATGTGAGTGCTAGTCTATCTGACCTTAAGTGCGATCGTATGTGAGTGTTGCTGTCAGTCTCTGAGTACGACAACAAGTTAGAAGTACTTCTTGAATCTATTTAGGTTTTGTGGAAAACAGTTTTGGTAGCTTCGTGTGACTCACGCATTGTATTGCTGTGTTCTTTATGTGACTGACACTTTTTCATGGTGATTGTACTTGGTGTACTCGGGTGCAGCAATCATGGCGGCTATTCCGGCTGACACCGCACAGTTCGATGCGCGTCACTATGACGAGAAGATGGAGTCCTTGTAAGTTTCGCGTTCCGTTTCACTTCATATGCGTGTCTCGACGATGGCGCCGGACTTAGGGTTAGCCAATTTCATCGTGTACTCCGGCTTTTAGTGGAAAATTGTCTGTCGTATTGGGTTGCGTTTGTCTCTCCGTATCTCCGTCTCCAGTGAAGTGGTGTGTGGCTCCCCCGATGTTGCGTCGTACCTTTTGGTACTGACTTGTATGGCCAATTTTTTTTGCGTCTCGGGACGCAGATCCTGGTTACACCTGTGATTTGTAGTCTCTTAGTACCGTCTTCCTCGAGCATTAACTCTATGCTATGCCTGTCGCGGTGTTATATGCAGTCATGACCTCATCTTATTGTGTTTTGATAGCCGGTGTTTGCGGGGTTAGAGGGTAGTCCCATTTTCGGTAATGTGTAGTGTAGTCGAGGGTGATTGCTGGTACCGCAAGCATCGGTGGTGTTCTGCGGGAGAACCTCTGTTGGGACACGTAGTGCTGAGTGAATTCCCGAGTTCGCGATGGCGATATTCCCTGTGTTCCTCGACTTTGCGCTTTTCCGTCTCGTTCGCGTCGGTTTCGCATGGGTTTTTTGTTTTCAGACGTGCTTGCAGCCGCTGTTACCCGATCGCTTTCCCGTTGAGGTTGCTGTTGGGTGAAGAATTGACGTCTTCCGGGTATACGCTTTTTTTTGTTATCACGGCTCGTCTGTCGTGCTCTTCCTGCGCGCCCTTGTGGACGTCACTTGAACACAAAATAGCGATGTGGATTGGACAACACTTGAACACAGAACAGCGAAGTGGATTGCGTCGCACGTCACGAGTCAGTCCGGTCGCAATCCGGGACGGATTCAGTACGAAATGCCCGAGCGTAAGTGGATTTCGGTGTGGTATCGTTCGGGCGAGATGATTGACCTGTTCTCTGCTCTGCGCTGTTCCTTGAATTCGTAAGGGGAGGCCAGACATCACTGCGCATCAAGCATGTGTCGTGCTCCAGTAGGGCTCCTTTTGGACAGTAGTTGTTGGAGTGCTCTTGTTGATTCGAAACGCTTCGTAGTTGTAGTTGCTGGTCGTCGGCTGGTTGGAAAGTTCCAGGGGGAGTGATTAGTCCTGCCCTGTTTGTAGCTGGTGCATGCGTGTGTCTCGGCTAGATGACTGGTGTACTGTTTTAAGGTGGTTGATTCGCAGGCCAGGCGTCGTCTCAGTTGCATTATTACTATTTGAAGGGAAAACTTTTCATGCCTGGATTAAATAACAATTTGCTTCGCTCAATGAGATGACCTTCTTCTGGTAATTGAATCCTCGCGGAATGACGTGGTTTGGGGTAATTGAATCTTCCGCGGAATGACGGGTTCCTTGCCTCGTCGTGCTTTCGCGCGGATGGGCTGCACTTAATCGAGTTTTTCTGTTCGGAACATTGTGTGGTAGGGTACGCATGGAAATGGGGTTTCTTAGCGGCTTAGGCTCTGTGAGTATCCTCGTGGGTGTGTCTGGTGTCGTCTGATCTGTGTGTGTCTTAATGTCGGTCGTTCATGGCAGGTTGAAGGAGGATGGAGGTGCGGACTTCATCTCTACGTGGGAGGAGGTGCACGAGACCTTCGACGCAATGGGGCTCAGGGAAAACCTGCTCAGAGGCATTTATGCGTACGGTAGGTCCAAGAAAATCTCGACTTTTTCAATCAACCGGACCTGTGTTTCAGCGGCTTTGTTTTGTGGCCTCGTGTGCCTGCGTTCACGTACTTACGCGATGAGTTGGATTGTCGTCCTACAAGGAGAAAACGAAGTCAAGTCGGTAGTGGAAGAGAATTTCATTATCCCTTTCGTGTGAGTGATGATTCGTTAGAGTTTTTGTATACAAAATGAATTGATTTTTTCTAGTTTTTTCGTTTTTGCGCTCTGATATCTTTGTGACGATGTAAGCTAAGTACTCAAATTGTCATCTACTCTCGTATCGTAGAATGGGACTTCTCTTCAAATTRATTTGGAAAGAGATTGTTCTCGAATTTTTGTGTAGGTCTTCTTATGAATTGTGCTGAATCTCCCCGCGTAGTTGCGATGCAACTAAAATATCCTGATTCCAGTTATCACCGCCATAATCATGGTTGCAGCGGTGAAGTAAGCGCCGGTTAATTCAACCACTGGTTTCCTAGTGGCGCGGACTATATCTTCAACCGGACAGAGAGAATCTTCGCTACAGCACAACGTACATAAATGTGTTCTGTTTGTGTTTAGCAGCGCATTATCACTCTGATTCTTTTTGGTAGGGGGCACTTGTTTCTGTTAATGACCGTTGGATTTTGGGCACAAGACCTACCGAGTCTTAATTCCATCATCATATGAAATCAGAGAGTAGGCAGATTTTCTTCCTATGGCATCGGTGAATCTTCTTTAACGCCAGTTCACACGAGCTTAGGTTGACAAAGCTACACACGAGCCTTCAACTGCAACTTTCGATAGTGGTCTTCCGCCTTCACTTACCGCCCCATTCCTGCCTGAATCGAATACCTTTTAGGGCGTTAACCGGTAAGAGCTCAACTTAGGCTTGGGTGAGGTGGTGGTTGAATTGGAAAGCCTGAGAATCGTTGCATAATGATTTTGTTGAGCAACGTCTGTGCCTAGCCCTTCCATAACTCGTGAATTTGGTATCTACAATGCCTGTGTGACTTGTGCTAGAAAGATGTGCAATTTGTGTGGAGGGAGTTGTGCTTGAGAGATGACGCGGCTGTAATGACGGGTCGTCCCTTTGGGTTCTCTTTTGACAACAGGTTTCGAGAAACCGTCGACCATCCAGCAGAGGGGCATCGTTCCGTTCTGCAAAGGACTGGATGTCATTCAGCAAGCGCAGTCAGGTACGGGAAAGACAGCGACCTTCTGCTCTGGAGTCCTGCAGCAGCTGGAATATGACAACTTGGCATGCCAAGCTCTCGTCCTTGCACCCACCCGAGAATTGGCTCAGCAGATCGAGAAGGTCATGAGGGCTCTTGGAGACTACCTCCAAGTGAAGGTGCACGCCTGTGTCGGAGGTACCAGTGTGAGGGAGGACCAGAGGATCCTGCAGAGTGGCGTACATGTTGTCGTTGGAACRCCAGGACGTGTCTACGATATGCTTCGCCGAGGAGCGCTGAAGCCCGACTACATCAAGATCTTCGTTCTCGACGAGGCCGATGAAATGCTCTCCCGAGGATTTAAGGACCAGGTATGTCCCTCTCGATCCCTACCGATATCCCCTGAGTAAGCTGTGATTGTGTGGTGATGTATCGAGGACTCGATTTTGTACTTTGTTGTCCCTTTTTTAAGTTGAAATGTATCGAGTTTCCATGTTATGGTTCGAGGGTTCGTTTGCTTTTACATCCGAACAGACTGGCATCGAGTAGTTGTGGTTGCTTTATTTGTGTCTGATCGACGCCTAGTCGTTTATCTCTGTTGATTATCAGGTTCTTTGTGTGTAATTAGCAAGAGCAGGGTTAGGTGTTGAGTACTACAGACCTCGACCTGATGCGACATCTTCGTTTGTGTTCTTCATTTTGCCTTGTGTGTGCAGATTTACGACATCTTCCAGCTTCTGCCGGGCAAGCTCCAAGTCGGTTTGTTCTCGGCTACCATGCCTCCTGATGCTCTGGAGATCACGAGGAAGTTCATGAGCAAGCCCGTGAGGATTCTGGTGAAGAGAGACGAGCTGACCCTCGAGGGTATCAAGCAGTTTTACGTGAACGTGGACAAGGAGGACTGGAAGCTGGACACTCTCTGCGATCTGTACGAGACGCTGGCCATCACGCAGAGTGTCATCTTCATCAACACGAGAAGGAAGGTCGACTGGTTGACGGACAAGATGCGCACTCGCGACTTCACGGTCTCTGCTACCCACGGAGATATGGATCAGAACACCCGTGACGTCATCATGAGGGAATTCAGATCCGGTTCCTCTCGTGTGTTGATTACCACCGACCTCTTGGCTCGTGGTATTGACGTGCAGCAAGTGTCCCTCGTCATTAACTATGACCTGCCCACGCAACCGGAGAACTACTTGCATCGTATCGGTAGGAGTGGGCGATTTGGAAGAAAGGGAGTTGCCATCAACTTTGTCACCCAGGACGACACCCGCCTGTTGCAGGATATCCAGAAGTTCTACAACACGCAGATTGATGAGCTGCCGAGCAACGTCGCGGATTTGCTGTAGATAATTCAACATGAGTGGCAACGGTATGGTTGATCTTGTGTGGTGTTTTTATTGCCTGCCAGCCAGCGGACTAGAGAGAGAGCGATAGCGGCAATAGTGAAGGCACCGCTTCCGGTTCTGGTGGGAAGTGATGGATGTGCTCTTCGAAGTCTGCGATAGTAAGTGTGCTCATGTGGGTTGTCAACTGTGGCATGCTAACTTGATGAGGGATTGAAATGGAGGATTGAATGTATTGGAAAAAGGGTGATGCCTCAGAATGACGGGTAGGAGAGAGCGAGCAGGCATTGCTCTGCCTGTTTGGATCTGATGCGGGTTGCTGTTCGATTTCTCTGAGGGGTTTTCGTTTTGTGAGAAAACTCCAGAAGGGTGTTCATTTGAGGAGGCAGTTCGGCGGTGGATCAACACTGCTGTTGTTCTTGCTGCAACTGCGTGATGTCGGAGTTTTGTCCGTGTGTTCTCTAGTTTCTTTGATATACGATGACTGTTTTCACTGTCTCTTTAACTGTGTTGTGTTTTCTCATTACGACTCTTAACATCTGGCAAGAGGTTTTATTCGTTTTCTCTATCGTTGGTTGTTGTTTTCCCATTACGACTCTGGAAGCGTGTCACACTCCTGGCTGTCGCCTATATACTCTTCTATCTCAATGTGAATGCTCCCTCGCGAACATGTTATGAGATGTTGTCTGCCATCTCATGTTGGTGTGTTTTCAAGAGAACTGGGGTGAAGTGGTGGTCTTGAAGGAGCACTACCAACTCGATGCTGTCCCTCTCTGTCACTTGTCTCATGTTCATGAAGTTTCTTGTTTTTCTGTGAGGATTTTGGCATGTCTTTTTGCAGGCTTCCTTGGGTGAAAGAGGTGTTGGTTTTCAAAAGAGGGGTCGGTTTGAGTGAAATGTGCACGGCTGTTGGTTTAAAAAAAGAGGGGTTGGTTTTAATGAAGTGTGCACGGCTTTTCTAGCTGGGTTTGTCTTTGGCTGTCTTTCGCCTTCCCCTGATGCGCTCCCCCTATCCCCATCCTGTCTAAAAATGAGACTAGTAATCCGGCTGTGGGGGAAACTGTGTTCCGGTCTTCCTGTGTTGCCTCAAGCGTCTTGTCTCTCCCGTCTTCAGGATTCGTATTCCTGGAATAAAAGTTGTTGGTCTAATGACTTGACTCCCCAATGGCAGACATGCAAGTCTCCGAAGTCATGACACTCAACTTGAGGCGGACCAGCTAAAAGATACTTTTCCAAAATACAAAATTGTTGCGAGTACCTGATTTCAAGAGGTCATGCGGCTATGGCTGCGCAGGTTCTCTCTCTCTCAGGTATGTACTTGCTCTCTCTGACTCTGTCTCTATTTCTTCTGTCTTACCGGGATCACGTGCTCGAACTCTACGGATGCATTTGGCTCTGAATACTATTGGCTATGGTTATGTATGCCGCCTTCACTAGTCGTAGCCTTTGTGCTTAGCGTTGGCCCGTACGCCTCGATTGTACGCCTCGATCATGGCACAAGCGTAGAGCAACGCTTTGGCAACGTGTGAATTCTTCAAATGAATCTCTTTTGTTACTGAGCTGTTCAAGTGGTGGCTCAATTGACATTAATGTGGGCTCCGAGAGGCAGTTAGCTGCACTTTTGTCAGCTCTGGAACTTTGCGGAGTTTCCAGAATGCTGCTGCTATAATTAGACTGGGACTTGGACTTTTTGTTGTCGGGTATGGGGCCTGCCGGACTTCTTACTACCTAGATATCTACTGGCCTATGAGGCTTGAATCGGCGTTTCGGCCAGTGTTCCTGCCGGTTCAGCTAGTGTACTTGGCACTGAGACCGTTGGGACACTAACCGGGACATGGGACTGGACAGATGTCAAATCGTTCCACTCCAGCGCTCACTTTCCCGGTCCTCGGAGAAAAGATGACATCTTTCTCACCTGTCTGCAACATTGATGCTCCTTCTAGCTCTCTCTCATAGTACGATATGATGTCCGAGACTGTCTCACAGCTCGCTTTTAGTCTACCACCTATCATCTGCTGGTTCCTGGTCCTGGACCTTGTACTGTTGTTGCGGTCTTCCCCTCCTGCCAGGCCGTTCAACATCATCATGAATGATGCGGTTGATGTCATATTGATGATCCTTTTTCTTTCTTTTTCTACAAGGCGGGAATGCATCGCTAGTCACACAAAGGTAGGAACCTTGAGGCATGAAACACAGGATACGTATTCAGATTTGTCGTCTGGATCACCACAAAGTTACATCCATAGTCTCCCATGGCACTCTGTATGCAGGTAGCAGCTTCTGAGAAATCCTTTTCTCTGGTAGAAACTCCTCAGACTTGAGCCAGCCAAAGTCTTGAACAGCGAACTTCGAGGGTCTGCGATGCTTGTAGGCTTGTTCTACCATCTGATGTTGCACTCGTCTGATATTCTCTGCAACTTTCTGCAGGTGTTTCACGGAGCGCAGTGCAAATTCTCCAGGCCGGTACCGTTAATCGTGATCAGGATTTTGGCAGTCAATCCGTTTCCTAGGCTCTTCCAACCCTTGTGCAGTTTATTCGGATTATTATGCCCTGTTACTAAGTGCACTGAGTTATTATACACACTGGTGTTCGTCCCATTCTGTCTGATCTGGCCTAACTTACATCCAGCGAGTGTGCTGCATCAGTTTGATCATCTATTTCTGTCTCTGTCCATTTGTCTCAGGGTGCATGGAAGATAACATGGTCAACTGGGACCACTGTTGCCAATGCTATCCTGTCATCCTTACCTCCTTGTACCACTCGCTACAACCGAGGGGTGGGAATTGTACTTCACCCTAACTCCGAAGAACTGTGGAATCACTAACTCTGTCCTAGCTTCGGGTGGCAGCGGAATGAAAACAACATACTTCCTAATTCTATCTACTATCACGTGAACTTTTCTATCCCATTCCTTTTCTTTGTCTCCATGAAGTCGAGAGAAAGGAGATGTTTCTGCTCCTGACGGTATAGCTTCTTCTTCTTCTTTTTTTTTTTTAATAAACACGCCCCTGTCAGTGTTAGCGGTGCTGATAAGAGCAGACACTGCTAACACCTGGGGGGGAGCTCCATCTATTGGTGGGGAGCGACACCTGCCGGAAAACGGGTCCAGCGTCCCTTACATGGGCAGAATATGAACCTTATCAGATAAACAGAGATGTGGAATGTTCCTGCCAGCATTGATTACCCTGGGGTCCAGGGGATTGACTGAGCAGGATGTTGGGGGGGAGAACCTCTTCACCCTGAACCTGGCGCCAGATACCTGCTGCTACACCCTGGTTCCTCCCACCCCCTACCTTTGAAATATACTTTCTGTTGATGCTGCTGGCCCACTCATACCGCTCCCCTACAAAGGAGCCCCACTGAACCCCAGTCCCTTTTTTGCTGGAAACCGGGTCCAGCGTCCCTTGAATACCTCTTTTTTACAGAACAGATAGCTGAGAAAGTGCCTGCCAGTCGGCTCTTCCCCTTTTTTTGCTGGAAACCAGGTCCAGCGTCCTAATGGGGGTTGTGTGGTACTGTTGTTTTGTCGCACAGTCAACTTTGCACATAGAGTACGTTGGCAGTCTTCGTACCAGTCCATATATAAGTACGCAAAAGGTCGGCTTGTGTGTTTTTCGAACCGAAGTGCTCCTCGGTATCATGGCACTCACCACTCTGCAGTATTCGGTATATATACAGCCTCCTGATGAGTCAGTAGGTGAAACTCCGATGAAACAGTTTGTCACAGCCCCTGGTTTGTTGTCCTCTTCTCCCTCTCTGCCTACGGTTTGCTGGGCACCAGCTCCGTTTGAAACTTTGACGACATATGCAGTTTATCCTCACTAATCAGATTTTGTGTAGTATTACAGATCTGACCCCTTCTCTCCTCTTCCCCGACTCCAGAGAAATCCATGTGGGGCTGGTGTTGGCTGATATGGAGCCGGGTTGGAATTTTGCAGAATGGGTAGCGAGAGGGCAAGGATAGTTTAGTAGGGGGAGGATGTTAGGGGTCTTAGGGGGTAATGTTGTTAGGATTTACATGTGCCAGTTTTCCGTCCTTCAGGACGTGTTGTGGTGACTGTGTGAGGTGGGGATTTTCCAGCAGGAAGTTAGGTTTCAGGTACAGTACCTGAAAATGGTGTAGTGGTAGTCTTTGCCATGTGGGTTTTTCAATTCCAACCACCGCTCCCAGATCAAGTTGCCATTTTGGTGTAGGCTACAGAGCTTCTGGTCATGCTTAATCCATATTCTCTGGACCGTGCCTGCAATTTGCTGTTTTGCCGTCGGCTCAGTTGCTGTCAGGATGGCGTCATTTTCATTCCCTTCCATACGGTGTGTGTACTGACTGTCTGATGGTTTGGATGATTTCCTCCCTTGCCTGTGGAAAACCAAAATGATTTTTTCTTCCATGGGAGCATCTCATCCTCCACGTGTTCATCAAGATGGAAGTCTCATGTAGCCAAAGAGATTGGAAGCAAACACATCCCATTTTTCCATTTACACTGTTGGCTGTCCAAAGAAGGGTCAGTGCGGGGTTGCATGGAAGGTGCCCCGCAGAAGCTGGTGCCAGGCTGCGTCCCACCAACACCAAAGCTGGGCCACCATCGCACAGCACAGGCCAGTAGGCAGTGTTGTTTGTCCTTTCTGCCAGCGCTGCTCCAGTGTGTGGATTAGATGCCTATTTTAAAAGTTTCTTGTTTTTCTAAAAACTTTTCTAATTATTTTTCCAAGTTTTCGTCTATTGTTTCTGTTAGATTTATATTTGATTATGTATGGATATCCAGGGTATTTACATTAATGAGATTGCAGGCTCCTGGCTGAAAGAAGGTCGAGGTTAAAGGCAGCCTGTGACTGTTGTGGTTGCCAGCGATGGCCTGCCAGCAGAGCTTCGTCGGTAAACGAGGGAGAAAGGAGATGCAGTCAAGGGAAGAATGGGGCAGCAGAGTTGGAAGAGCGAGTGAAGCTAGAGGGGGGAGTCGGGAGATGAGAGAGGAAATGGTAGACGTTAGAGACAGAGGGACTTACCTCGAAGCGGGCTGTCTCAGTAAGAAGACTGGCTACCTGTGGAGCCAGACTCGTCTTCGTCTTTACTCAGCATTCATGAAAACAGATGACAATCGCATTGGCGCCAGGCGTCCACACAAGACTCAGAGATATCGTGCCCAAGAACGCAGTTCAGATTCAAACTCGCTTCAGCTGGCTATGGCGCCTTTGTGCCTACACTCACCTCGACCGATAGTGTATCCTCAGCAACTGCTCACACGCATGCCACTCTCGATCTCCCTGGATGTCCCACACGTACTCACACACTTCACGCAGCACCCTCACATGTACACGCTACAACCTATCTCTAACCTGCGGCAGCTATCGCCGCCCTCTACTCCCTAGCTACTAGCGGTTATGGCCACTTCGTCTCCCTTACAGCCCACTTCTCCTTCGGGCACCTGCAGACGTCCTTGCACAAGACGCTCACGCAGCGCTTCCGCACGGCTCACAGGGAGAATGAATGAATGGCTGGAAGTTAACTCTTGATTTATACTTCGGTTGGTCGCTGGTCTGCTCCTTTCCACCGGGCCCAGGGTGCACACAGTCCCACATGGTACTTGCTGACTGGGCAAAGTGCGACCGGTACTGGGAACTGGTGACTAGGCGAGGTTGGGCTGCCCGCTTGCCCACTTGCCTCTAGCCTAACCTTAGCATTTCTCGAAAGGTCCACCGGGCCCAGGGTGCACAGAGTCCCACATGGTACTTGCTGACTGGACAAAGTGCGACCGGGACTGGGAACTGGTGACTAGGTGAGGTTGGGTTGCCCACTTGCCTCTAACCTAACCTTAGCAATTCTCGAAAGGGCACTTCCGAACCTTTCGGAAGTCTGTAGAATCGGCCTTTCGGAACTGTAGCAGCTACGACCTTGACCTTTCAGGACTGTAGCAGCTACGACCCCTACATGACAGACCTACGTTCAAGACCCGACAAC